ATTTATCAGTGAAAGCTTGTAACCAATTTAAAATTAAAAGCTCACAACTTTCTGGTGTTAGCTTCTCAATCTCTGTAAATCTCTGTTCTCAGTTTTGGTTTCCCTTCCTTTTTCTCTCTGTCCCTTAAGTTTTCTTTTTTTCAGATATTCCTACTGTTTAATGCATTTTCTAGCTGCAACCAAATAAATCTATGAACAGATGATCACAGATGATTAAATCACAATGGCGTGACTATTTACAGCTGATGTCAAGCGAGTCACATTAACCGCATGAACTCCCAACCTTTACAGCTGTTGATGTAAAACACAGTATTGGAAAGCACCTTCGTGTTTCAAATTTAACATATAAAAATTCAAGAGCTGCAATCTAAAACAAATGCAACAAATGATTTAAAGTTGCTATATCTCTCTTCCCTTGCTTCCTACCCCCATTAAACACAGATCTTTATCAAGAGACAGGCTCACTGACTAACCACATATACACAAAAAAAATATATACAGCCTGTCCTGCAACTGTCTGTAAATTCTTTTGTAACTTACTAGGAATTATCTCCCCTAATTGGAAAAATACAGGAAACAGAGCTTTTCTCTATCACCACTTGTCTTCAGCACACATGTACCACTTTCTGCATGTTGTCAATTTTTCAACTATTCCCCATCATTTTTATTGGTCATTGATGAAAAAACAGAAGAGAGAAAGTATTTTTTGGAAAAAATAATAGTTGACTGAAGAAAAAGAAATTAGGAGTGGCACTTAAAGCTAATGTTAACATTTTAAAATCTCCTTAGCTCTCTGGGCAATTAGTGTCCTGAAAGAAATGTTCACATACTCTTTTTATGGAAACAGATTTCAATGCAGCCTCTCCAATAAATTCAGAGACACAAAGAAAATCAGCTTTGCTGCTGCTTTCTGTACATGAGTATCACCTAATCTGTTACAGATATGTTAGAATTGTACACCATGTGTTCCCCTTGGCATCCATGGCACTTTGTCTGCATTAGTTTATTTCTCATATACACGTCTCCAGCCTATGCCTCCATCATTTCTGCAATGTCTAAGCATGCAGTACAGTGCACTGCAGTGGTATCGAAGGAGGATTCTAACAAGTTAACTGCAGGGCAGATCAGCAGGACACATAAGTAATGAGCACCACGCTCATATTGGTTCTGAGAACCAAGCTGCTATTTCTTCACAGTGCTACACAGGGTGGAAGAGATACACCTTTATAAACAGAGACTGCTATAGTCAGATAAAACTCAAAATGTCTTCATTACACATTGTTGGCATTTATCAGAAAATTTCCTTTTTCTGAAGAGGAAGACCCACAGCTCTATTAACCCCAGGCACAACCTCAGTGCAGCTAGGGAGCAAGCCAGATGCAGGAATCCCTCCTATCCCACATGCAGAGACCACAGGCACCTTACACCTCTTCAGTGCAAAGAAGGCAAAGCCAGCCCACCCTCACAACTTATAGAGAGAATATTTGCATGCAGATTCCATCCAATTTAGCCAACTTCCATCATGTAAACCTTTATACTTTCCTTGTTTGAGAAGTCTACAGAAGGAAAAGAATTTTTGCCCAACCCACATTAGAAGATGACATATTTTGTGTTTTGTTTGAGGGTTTTGGGAGAGCAGAAAGGTTTTTCTTGCCTGATTACCCTTTCAGTACTTACAGGTGTACTTCAGGGACAGGTTTAATGCATGATCTTTTCTTTACTGCTTTGCACAGGGATCAGCATTGTAAACTAAATTTCTGACAAAACCAGCTCAAACTGTCCACAAAATTCTTTCAACACCACTCACAGATGGGAACTGACTGCCCTGAGTATTTAATATGATAGAGCAAAGACCCACCAAAACTGCACAATTTTTATACCAGAATCTTTAAGGCCACAGGAATGTCAGTTTACATACGGTCGATGTAACAAAAGACAGACCATAATTTTCCTTTCCTTTTGCTTTTGCTTTTCCTTTTCTTTTTTTTCTTTTTTTTTTTTTTTTTTTTTTGTGGGAAGAGTAGTTAGTCTGATGCCATGGAGAGTTTCCAGGAAAATAAAGAGGGCCAAACTATGACCCACATATTCCTGGTTGCCTATTAATATCAGGTTTATTGAGAAACATTCTCTCTGGCAAAACAAAAAACTCCCCTAGTTAGCAATCAGGTTAAATTTGTACTTGTGCTTGGACCTTGAACACTTTCTGGCCTTAAAGAACGAAAGACAGAGGAAAGCCTTTGGGTGCACACAACACTACACCATTAAATCAGAAGACTCCTTTATTGCCCACTCATTCATCTGATGTCTCTCCTGTTGCTCCATGCATGGAGATGGAGACTTACTAGTGATGAAGTGTGACAACCCACATCAGGAACTAGGAATTGTGGACGAACATGTTGAAAAACACAAGGTGATGGGCAGATGCACCTTGTAACAACCACCCAGCATTTTCCAAGCACAGGAATGTGCCAGACCTTCCTGCTGCAGAGCCTTGCAGTTAAGAGTGCCTACAACTTGCCTAGATCAGCTACAACAGAGCCATACAGAATACATGCAGGTCATACAGGTTGGCACCTTCCCTGAAATTCTCAGGGAAAAGTATACAGAAGGCAATACTTGGAGTCTGAGACAAAGGCAGACTGCTATGGAGAGGAAGATCAGTCCTACACCATCTTTTAGTACTCTGGCATTGGCAGTTATCTTCTGGTATCTCCACCTACAACCTGTGTGGAAGCACTGGGGTAACAGGGCTTCACAGTTACAAGTACAGATGCTGGGGGCAACTACAGGGACTTGGACATTTTCTGCCACCTCCTGTGCTGCCCTTCCCACATCACTCTCTGCACTCACGAGGGAGATGTAGCTGTCAGTTCCTGCAGCAAACTGATCTGAACCACCCTACCTCCTTCTTACTCAGGTGGAAGCCAGTCACATCTAACAAGGCCGTGAGAAAGAAATTACACTGCTTTCGTAAAACCAGACACATTCCCAACCAAGACATGAGGTAGTATGGGGACAGTATTTTACTTTTGCTGCTGGGCTTCTTGAGCTCAGCTCTGCTCCTGAATGTCACAGGGCATCAGTTGCGATCAGTGGTTCTGAAAGGAAGAAGCTGCCATTCCCACAAGGCAGATGCAGTTGTGGGACTCAGCTGAACACAATCAGCCAAAATGCATTGAGACATACAAACTAAAACTCTGAATTTTCTTCACAGAATCCACTCTGCAGCTAGGAGGTCTGGATGGCACCTGCTTAGTTCCATTCAGAGTGATAAAGCCACAAAAGAAGTCTGTGTGAAGGAAAAGATCTCTGCTGAGGAAAAGAATGACAAGTCTATTTCCATGCTTAAGACTGCAAAGCTGCTCAAATGGTTACAATGAGAGATCTGTGCACTTTGGCACAGTGAAGAATTGAGTTTAAGATCATAAAAATGCATATTTGAACTGAACTGGTATTTACGCAGCACCAAAATAGCCTGAGGGTTACACCTGCATACTCAAATTAATTTTCAAGTGCCTCTTTTGCTATGCAGGGTATTTTATGTTACAGTCGTACCATACTTATACAACCTACTCGAAATGTGTTTCCCCTTGTTTGGAGTAACAACTTTCCAAATTGGACTTTATGAGACATCTCCAGAAAGAAATTAAAGGCAAGAGCCTTCCCCACATACTGCTTCCTGACTACCATACGGAATACCTGCTGAGCAGAGACCTAGCAGGTCTCTCTGCTCATTCCTGAGCACAGGTTAAAACACATTCAGCTGTTAATCAATGAAGGCTTATATAAAGCCTTTTAATGTCTTCATCAATGAGAGCTCTATATGGCTCACTGGGAAGTGCTTTTAGATGGATCTATTGACAGTGGAGTATATACACGTTCAGTGCAACACACAGTGGAACAGTAATCACAGAATCAGAGGGGCTAGGCACAAGTGGTCACAATCTGTCCCAAGAGATGTTAAACTATAATGTTATCATTCCTGACAAATGCATCTTCTTAAAAACATCTAGCGACTGCAACTCTTTTCCCCTCCTCCCCATACACACCAGCAGTCTACCCCAGCACCTCGCCACCCTTGTTATTCCTTTCTTTGCTGTAATTCAAGCTTTTTACTTCTTGTCTTAAACATCATGGAGATTGATAACAGACTCTTCTCTTCCTCACTGAAGTCTCCTATAAGCTCCCCTGAATGCCTGTTCTTCTCTTGAAACACACAGTTATTTCAATCAGTACTCCATGGCAGGTTTTCTGAGCCTCTAATCATTCTCACTGCCTTCCCTCTCAATTCTCTCCAGTTGACCCAAATCTTTCATAAAAAATTTAGTATAGCAGTCCACACCTACAGCCACTTCAAGCCTGAACCAGGCATAAGGACAACTTCTAATGTCCTGTAGGACAACAATGCTACATAATCTGACACTGGCTTATGTTTGGGCAAATGTTATGAACTGATTAAGATCTTTTATTCCAACAAAATTGGAACAGCAGCTGTATTAAAACAGGAGTTTCATATGCGTATACAGTATCAAAACAACATTCCCACAGAATCAAGCTACGCAATTCAAATTAATCTGCAAAAAGTACGCACTCTGTCCAGGAATCAGTGGTACCATGGCATTCTCTCTCAGTCACGAGAGGTACAGCTATGCACAAGAATCACAGTAGCCAGCCCTCTGTTACCCTGAAACACCTTTCCCAAAGAGCTTTCACCAGACCCTTCTGCTTGCCTGACGGGCTAGATACTTGGTCTAGTTTCCCCTGACAGAAGGCTTCCAGAGACTGGGGTCAAATAGCAGCTGTGATTAAGAGCACCAAACCAGGACAGATTAGTAATACCGGGAAAAGTCACTTCCATCCTGTGACAATGGTTTTAAAACGAGTTTGAGAACAAGTGGCTGCACTTCTCCAGCTCCAGGTTTCCCTTTTTTTTTTTTTTACAGGCCACAAAATTCCTATGACCTAAAACCATAAAACCAAATTCTGTTCTTTGTACTTACCCTTCTCTTTGGTACTCCTCATCCAAATTTGACAAAAGCTGGGACCCAGCCACAGACAGATCGAGTGCAGCTAAAGGTAGATCTCGATAAGCAAAATTAACGAGCTGTACAGGAGCAATGCTTTTGGTCTCTTCTTCCACTTGCTGTGAAATTATCTCAACTTCTGAAACACCGCCTTCTATTGCAGGCCTGAAGATACAGTAAGCAAAATAAAAAACCCTCTCTCTACACACACATATACACATAAACAAATATAAATAAATAAGCAAGTAAAAGTAAGTTAGAGATAAGAACTTCACAGAATCCTAGAAAGACAGCAACCTAAAAGACCTTTGCAAGGTCACTGAGGGAGGTATCCTCACTGAGGGGACAGACCAAGTCTGTCCAAACTTGTCTTTTATAGATCTGACTGAACTCAGCAGAAACCTCACAGTCAAAGGAGAACAGCATTTCACTCTGCTGAATCTGCTTCAAAAGCACTAAATACAAATGGATGTGTTCTAAACAAACAAATATGAAAACAATGCATGAACCCATAAGCAAAACAGAAAGAAGGCATGTAACTACACCAACTAAAAACTCACTGCTTTGTAAGTTAGATCAGTGAGCAATGAATAGCTAAGCTTATTAAACATTATATATACAAATCAACTGTTAATTAATGGGTGCAGTTTGACCCCTCATCCACTGTGACTGATCCTTTGCAGTGCCCAGGGAAAGCTGCTCGCTCAATTTGATTTACAGTAGGTGCAAGCATAAACTTCTCCAGCTTTCATCCAGAGGAGCCAGTTAACTTCTGAAGAAATCTCAGGCTGCTTGTCAGATGTTTTCAACAGCAGGTGAGAAGATACTCTTTTTCCTTAGGGATATAGTTAAAAAGTGCTTAGCACCCAACTTCCCTCTGTTATTTGACTGCAAAAGTTGCATTGGCAATTTTGTTTTAAAGAAGCTTATTAAAATCTTCCAGCTATTCAAGCAACCTGAATAACAGCTCATTTTTTTTCCAGAAAAAAATGAATAATTTAGAAGAGTTCTTAACTCATATATCTTTTAAGTCGAAGGATGTGGGCGAAGGAACTAAAATTCTATGTGAAAGAGATAGAGAAAGGTTCTATTGGTCAAAGCCTCACCATTAGACTAACACTTTTGGACAGAAAACATTATTCCTAAATTAAAAGGAGCTAACTGCTGCTAGCATTACACAAGAAAGTAATTTTAAAAATCGGAAAATGCTGTTATATGTCAAGTATTTGGCAGGGAAAGGCTGCAACTGCGTCATACTATGGCAGAAAATAGAGGTAAAAGGAAGCACTATTTGAACAACCTAATGGCTGCTTATTTTATTCTTTGTCTAACTCCTAATAGAAACAATGAGATTCTTTCATTTCCAACAGAACTGTATTCCTCTTTAAACAATCTGAAATCAGAAGCCCGAGGGAGCTAATTTTAGCAAGAACTTTCTTTGATTTTCACCTTTAGTGCCATCCTGCGGACATTCACCTTTACAAGTCCAAGCTGTTTAGTTTTTGTGTGAAAGAACATACAATGATCCAATTTCCAGTATTACAAAAGAAAAAGGAAATGGGTTGCTCCAGCCTTCCCCCTCTCAACAGTACTTACTTTTTGTATTCTTAGACAGACTAATCGACAGACATAATCTGATTTGACTGAAAAGAAAACCAAACAAACCAACAGACTAGTGTTGGCAAACAGCTTTGGGACAGGTTTGTTGTCAGTAAATAAAAAAGGCAAATGGATACGAAAACAATATAGCATACTAGTTTGCAGCCATTGGCTGTTAGTGACAGACATGCGTACAGCCTTCATTTTTTTTTTCTGCTAATTCACACTCTTCAAATGACTCACCAAATCCTACTATTCCTCAAAGTATCAGCTTTTCCTTCCAATAATATCAATAGAACCCTCTTGATGTCACAACAACATTCTCCTACAGGTAGGAACCTGCTCCCTTCTATTAAAAATAAGTTATAACTATCCTCACACGGTACTTACTGAGGATTGGTCATGTTGGAGGATGCAACCAAATCAGCAGTGGTTCCGGTATTTAACTAATTCCAGCTGCTCTGCACAAAAGTTCTAGCCTCCCAAGATTAGGTCTCTGTGAGAAGCAACACAAAGTTATCTAAAACACAGTCAAAAGAACACCAAAGGGCTGCACTGGTGTTGTCATGTTGTGAGTTTGTCTAATAATTTTATTTCCCCCACAATCCTTTTTCAAAGCAGTTTTATTCCAGGTTAATTCCTCCATTTTATGGAAGCTGTGAAGTTACAGTGCATTTACTTACACACATGGACACCTGCTCACATATAAACTTCTATAAGAATACAAGTCTTGCTTTAAACCACTAGATTGTTGAGAAAGATAACAAAGATTAGATAGAGGAGGGTATTCTCAAAGAAAGCTCATGGCTTTAGGAATGCAAATTCTACTGGAAACCAAAATTTTTTCCCCCACAATTTAATATATTTTATAGAGATGACCATCAGCTTTGTCAACAAAGTTTGGGGTTTTGTTCTCCATATTCCAGTTTGAACTGTGCTCCTGACTCTCTTTGCTACTTTAGACAGTCTCTTCCAATCATTAATTCACGTGGTCAAACATTCTAGATGGGCTGTTTTCAAGATCTTATTTTGATCAACAAAACCCACTAACACATTTGCTTGTTGCAAGATCTCCATTTGTGTTGCACCTGGACCACGGCATGGCAACCACAATGGAAGAGGACAAGCTTGTGAGAATGAAACCTACTGACACACAAGTTTCAGTAGCTGGAAAAATGTAAGGTGGGGAATACCATATAAGAAACAAAAATTATTTAAAAAAGATTTTACGAGAGACTTTGTAAAACTACTATCAAGATTATATGCCAAATAACTTTTTAAGTAACATATAAAAACATACTCTTATTTTAATTAAGCAGAAACAGTTATTGGCAAATTAGAATATTACTGACAATAACACCAAAAAATGTCATTATAATGAAAAATACTTCTTATACTAGAGTCACTTACAGGCTGAATTGTTACTATCAGTCCAGTATTTACAGTGGAGACACAAATATAGCAAAAGCATGACCCTTAACAATCACTTGATAGCAAAAAATAAAATTGAACTTACATCCTTTGTAGACCCATTTCCAAGTCTTTATTTCATGTCTTGTAACCTTATAATAATGTAAAATTTAGTCAATGCATTCTCAGATTTTCCAGATGATGTGCCTGGGTATGCAAAAAGAAAGGGTCTACACTGTGATCACCGTCCTCAGATAAGCCAGCCAAAACAATTCAATTATTCATATGAAGAAAAGAAATATGACCAACTTTAAAACAGAAAAATGCATATATTTTAGTAAAACACATACACTCCATTTATCTATAACCTTGCAGTACTTCTAAAGTCAGAGTGAGAAGCCAACTTTTTCAGATAAACCTTCCCAATACAGCAGAGACTTGATTCAACATCTATTCAATATCAACAGGAGTCTCTTCCCTGGCCTTCACAGTCCTGAAATTATTTTATTATATCCCAAAGACAGCAAAATACTAAAACACTTGCCTAAAATTATGCATGTTTAAATCACACACTGAAGGGATTTGGTGCATGTATCCCTATGACAGCTTTATGATAGCAATTGTTACACCTACCAGCACAACAAAACTAAAATATAACTATCAGCCTTGTTTTGCAATGTTAGCTCCCCAACATCTCATTTTGGGTTGACATTTTACAACACTTTTCAAGAAAACACTTTTTAATGAAAAATTTTATCCAAACCAATTGTTCTAAGCACTCAGCCTGAGAGAATGGTAAAGGCATGAGGTACTCTGCACTGGTCTTGTGAGACTGACTAAACTGAGAATCCTGCTATACCTGCATTTGCAGGCCTGGAGAATAAAAGGTAAATGGGGATACAGCTGTTCTAGGAAATAGGAAGAAAACTGATGGAAACTGGCCTCAGAAGACATGCAGAAAGATGTAGATATGGGAATTTCTTAACACGGTAAAAACCTCACCATTTATTTATTTGCAAGACATCACAGTGCTAATACAACCTCCCTCCCAAAGGGGTTCAGAAAACAAAACAATGACAAAAAAATATACAGCTAGATTTTTAAAAAAAAAAATCTTATTTTTTAGATTAATCTCAAGATTTTGAGGGAACTTAAGTCATAACAGCAGGACCAGCAGCTCATGGGACATGAACATGAAATATTTACCTCTCCAGAAAACAGATTCAGTCTCTTCATTGTAAAACTGGAAATATGTTCATGTTCATACAGAATTTTGTTTTAACAACTCAACCAAATCTGACTAGTGGCAACACCAATAAGCTAGACCTGCTCCCTCTCACTGAGGTTGGCAGCCCTACAGATGAAAGTTTGCTCACCACCAGGACTGAAGGAGCAACTCACAGCCGTGCAGCAAGCTCTTCCAATAGCTGTGATGGTTCCGCAGGGAGCAGAGTCCAAGTTGCCCCAGCTGAAGCAGTCGTGACCATGACATAAGGCGCTCACAGAAGTGAGAAGAGTAAGTGGAAAGAGACCTGAAAGGAGTAAGAGAGTCAAGCCTCCAAAGGACTCAGTGGAGCCTTCCTAAGAAAAAGTGGCAAAAAGTGAGTAATTTCTGGCGCAGATGAGTAATGTATTAGCTGATTTAATGAATTAAAAAGACAAGTAGTTAATATGTACAGTAAGAGGGCAGCATAACTGAAACCTTCAAAATGGATGTAATAGGTTGTTTATATCCTCAAGGGATTACTATGATTCATGCTTCTTTCTAGGTTTTATGCAAGCAACAGAAATGTCTTAACATAGTCATATTTTGCAGAAACTTATTCTTTCCATCCACTGCACATCATAAAACTTACATTCAAAACTTCCTTAAAAAAAAAAAAAGGACAAAAACAAACAACTTTTATAGCAGCATAAAACACTTCCAACTTCCACAGGAAAATTCTGTGCAACAGAGTGGTGTTTAAAGGCAACAAGGAGCAGCAGGGAGATCTCACCCTTCTGCACATACCTCTTGCTTGCATTCCTATAGGATATAGCGTAGGCAAAGAGCAATGACATGCCTCTCCTCCCTATCAGCAGAGACAGGCAGGGGGCAGAGGGCAACCTCTGGGTACTCCATCAACCAGCCAGGAGAGGAAATTTTTCCATATGGCACTTGCCACACCTACCCCACTCAGTGCTCAGTAGACAAAAGCACCTCATCTCTCATGGTTTCATCAGAGAGAGTTAGTTAACAGTTTCAAGGTTGAGTTTTTTTTCATTTCTTGGAACTGAGACCAGACAGCACACAGTGCCTGCTGAGTTGCCATGCAAGTATGAGCAGTGCCCATTTTGTGAGAGTTCAGCAACCCTACTTGTTTTGTGGTGTGCTTTCAAGGGGAGATGGCTTTAGGATGACAGTTTCCCAAGTTAAACAGAATTAGTTTAAAAAGGAGATATGACAAAGGAAGGTATAGTCCCAAGAAGTCTCTAGTACAAGCTTTAAAGTGGCATAAAAAACAGAAACATTTACTGTCTTGGATGTACCAAAAGGACAGTGCAATCTGACGGGAAGCATATTTCTGCATCTGGTTTTCTGCATAGAGGCAAGTTTGTAGGCTAGCAGCCCAGCTTCAAAAGCGCAGGATCACAGTTCAAATCTCAGCAAAGCTGACTCAGATTTCACTCCTCTGCAGCGAGTGAAGGAAGTTGTACCCAGTTCACTGAGCTCTTTCAGATGCGAGACCTTCAAAGTGCTTAAGTCCTGTACCTGCCTTGCAAGCCCTCCAGCCCTCCTCTGTTCTTTGCAGAGGTACCACACATGCCAGTGTTCCTCAAAGCAAGGTACCCTGTGCCTGATTTCAATCTCTTTCACCCACTCCTCTGTGGAGGCACTGGCAAGCAATGGTTTCACAGTTCACGGGTTATGCTCAGAATCACGCAGGTTGAGAAGTGGAGTCATGCGCTATAGTTGAGCAAAGGTCCATGCTGCTGCTCTTGCCCAGCACACATCCTGACTGAGTTAATTTGTTAATGTTTAGATCAATCACCTGTCGTCAGTCACACACCTTGTCTGTAGCTTGCTAATAAGGAGATAAAGTCCAGCTTAAGCAACACAAAGCACAGAACAGTTTGGAAAGCTGATGTTAAAGTGTAGCACACATGAGATAGTGTTTGTTGTTTGTAAACACACTCTCAGCTAAAATAAAACACCAAGAGCAAACTTAAAAAAAAAAGTAGTAATAAATCTGTAGTCCACTTATGCATGGCAATCATGCCTTTTACCATGGAAGATGATTTAACTTAAAGTTTTTCCACCGAAGTCTCTACAAACTTGTACCCTGTTTAGCTGAGCTGAAGTCATCTGTTGTATTTGCTCACCTTCTCAGGAGTATTACCATGAAGCTGCCAACCCCTGTGCAAAATACAGACCCTAAACGAAACATCTGAGCTTATGTACTTAAATGTAGCTACAAAACCAAATTCTAACATGTTCTTTTAACTAAAGATTCTTCCATGCAGCCCCCCAACAGCAGCATAGACACACACAGACAGGCTCACAGTTTGTATGCAAAGGAAACACAATTTGAGGCAACCACTGTTAGCTGCAATGCAGGTTTTAGGTATTCTTGCCGAGCTTCTGCTCTCTCCTCTGTCCACGCCATAGCCATGCACCTGCACATGGGCCATTACTGTGAGCTGGACCAGGAAACTGATTTGACAATTCAATCAGCAACAACAAAACTATTTTTCTTTTCCTGAACTTTTTTTTTTTAAAAAGCAGGATGGCTTCCCTGATACAGGTCACAGTACAGCTCCAAAAATAGCTATGTAAGCAAAACTGAGAGGGTAGGGCAGGGCACTGTGGGAAGAGCCATAAAAACAAACAGCATGGTGGAAAAATACTTAAGATCAGAATACTCAAATCAAAGATGTGTTGAACTTTTGCTAATGGCAATATTCAACTGGAGTAAGCAACCAACCTGGAAATGCTTAACAGACTGGGGAAGGG